CGAAATTCAAGAAAATTATTTTTACCCGTTTACTAGATACAGTGTTATTTTCACAACTGCTCCTGTGTCTATCGTTATAATAAAAAAAAAAAAAAACGGGCAAAAGTTAAAAATCATTTTTAAATGATCTTGAATCGTATTTATTTTATTGGTATGACTTGGGTTGGTTCAAGAAGCAACCTCGGTTCAAAATATTTTAAAATATTCATCTAAATGAATATTCTAAATGTTTTTATGACTTAGATTAGCCAGGGTTTACCCCCTCCCTCCGCCTAATATTTATTTCTACCAATGCAGATTAACTTTAATTTCGGTTTAACTTACTTTTTATCTTCTTCTAATTCTCAGAACTTAGAGAGATTAAAGTTTATAATCTGCATTGATAGAAATATACATTGGTAATCGCGTCATACGTTTTTATCTCGGTGAACGACGAGTTAAATATGAATCTCTTGATGTCCCGGTTTGTTTATCCGATAAAAGATATACATTGCAACTTTGACTCACCACCAGTTGGCTTGCGCGCCGCTTTGCCACGCGACGATCAGCAAAGACACAAGTAGGTAGCTCATTGACATGACGAGCGTACGTTGCGTGCGGCGATCCCGTGTGGACTCTCTCTCTCTCTCTCTCTCTCTCTCTCTTTCTTTCTTTCTTTCTCTTAACTCGACCGCCGAATCCTCGAAGTCGAATCTCCTCCGTGGAAGCGCGAAGGAGAGGAGAGATTACGTGGAATCGTCCTTGCCTTCTCTCAACCTCGCATTCTTACATGCGTCGCCGACGACGGTCCGCGTTTCGCATCGTCTTCTCCACGAGCGCGAGCGCGAGATATCGAACGTCGCGAGACGCGAGATCGTCGACCGATCGAAGATCGCGCGCGAAAGTGGGAAAGAGAGAGGAGCAGAGCGTGGCCGGGATCGAGAGCGATCTCGGAGCGCGCGCCCGGAGCGGATCGACACCCCGCGCGTACCCGCGTCTCCCCCTTCTCGCGCCGCTCTGTGCCCGAAAGACCGTGGACTTTCTGCAGACGAAAGTTCTCCAACTCCGGTCCCTCGTCTCGTCTTACATGTTTCCGGCGACGCGCGGACCGAATTTCGAATGCCGCGATCGCGACGCGACGCGACGAATCGAATTTTGCGCGGCCGGAGCCGGATCGGCCGTAAATCGGCGGGTAAGTCGTTTCCGCGCGCCGAAAGGTCTCGCGGCTTCGAGCAAGCGATCAAGCGGAGATCTGAGGCCCCCCTCAAGGGAATCTTAATCGGGCGGAACTTTGACGCCGCCGATGAGAACCGCAGTCGTCGTGTCGTCGACGCACGGTGAACCGCGAGCGGAGCGGAGCCGACGCGAGGCGAGACGACGCTCCGTGAACGTTCGCGTACGGACTGTGGTGGCCGGTAGTCACGAGGAAAAGGGCAACGGGGCTCTCACGGTGGGCGGAGTCGCCGCTCGTTCGCGGCACGCCGATTGGCCGCGTCGCCGAAGAGCCACCGGAGGCTCCACTCGCGCTAATTAAGCATTTCGGCGCACCGGCGACGGGACGGTGCCGGAGCACGTACGCTCGCTCGCTCGCGATTCGTTCTCCTCGACTCGCGCTTGTCTCATCGAATCCGACTTAACCGGTGAGACCCTGGAGACTGTCCCCGCGTTACGTCTCGCGTACCTACGTCCGGCCGCGTCGATTACGCGTTTTCATCGCCTGCCCTTATTGAGATGGGAGACCATCTCGTAGGAACGGACATTTAAAAGATACCGCTCGTCTGCCTTGGCGTATTCGTGATAGGGTGAGGAAGGGCTATTTGAGTTAGTTAAAGAAAAAATCGGGTACAAAATTTTTCAAGACAAGGAGGCTCTTAAATTTTCAAGGCTTTTTTGCTTTTTTGTCTTGAAAATTTTTGAGCCGATTTTTTTCTCATCGTCGAAAATATAATCGAGTTCCCAATTTTGATAGATATGGAAATTAACTGAAAACAAAGATTGAAAGTAATGATTATCTTTCAGATTGTTAATGAAAGAGTTGGTGAGTGTAACGCGATTCTTTTCTGTTTAATGATGCTAGAGGAAGTGAATTAAGTGATTAATAACGTAGGTAGCCACCTGGATAATTATTGACTCTTTTTTAGGGAAATATACAGATAAGAATTTCGATCCGCGATTTATTATTTTCGATGGAAGGACGTGGCTGGTACAAGCAAAAAATTCATCTTTACTCATAATCGGTCGGTGCGTAAATTTGTTCAAGCAATAGAAAGGACAAATGCGAGTAATCTTAAATATTTAACTTTCTATCGCTTAAATTATTCCTTGCGGGTTTGAGAAACGTTCAGTAGAGAAATGAGTGTTAAATAAAGCTGCGTTATAAATTCATATTTCCGGAAACGCGAAATGGATTTTTATACAATAACGTAACTTTAACGTTACGTTTATTTATACTTTTATACAAAATAACGTACACGGCGTACAGTGCGTACATTATATTATTTTATATTATAAAAAAAAGAGATATATATCGATATAATACAGTTAAAATTATTCCTCGCCATTACGATAATGATGGAAATAGGAGATTCTATTTTGACAGAGCAATCGTTTCGTTATTTCCTGCCAGTCACGAATAGCATGCATTGTTTAATCAATATTGATGTATCGCCATCCAAATCGAATTGATTTCAATACATTTCGGTATCTTCAGACAGACATACTCGTTTCTAAACAATACACAATTGCATCGAGTGTTTACATATCACCATAAGAATTGTACATAACAACTCTTCTAATTTTTTTAGAACTTTTATATTGGATCTATACCCACTTTATAATAGGTCCAATGAATTATATGTGATTACGAGTATTTCATGATTAAGATTAAGATCATGTGTAACAATAAGTTTTGGTGATAGATATTAATTCAAATCAATGTCGCTATTTTCCGGATTGTAAATTTTGCATTTATTACGCGCTTGAAGAGAATATTAACGATTTTTAATGTACGATTTTCATTACACATCTTGAGACTCATATTGTACATAACGCATAATTTATAACAAATATCATGAAATTAACATTGATTCGATATAGTCTCGGTACTATTGAGATGAAGATTTGGACTCGCCAAAATCATTCTACTTTCAATTTTTATAACAGCATTACGAATTGTAAACTACAAGACAAATGTCCATATCTACCAATGCAAGTTAATTTTAATCCTGGTTTAACTTACTTTTTATCTTTTTCTAGTTCTATATAGAATTAGAACAAGATAAAAAGTAAGTTAAACCGAGATTAATCTACATCGGTAGAAATGGACAATGGACAAAAGTGATGCATGTGCCGTGCGAAATAATTACGATAATCGATAGAGCGTACTATATATTAAGATAATTTTTTGAAACGCCGCGATATTTAATCTTGAAATGAAAACCACGTTTCATTATTTACTTTAAGCAAAAAATATACTGACATTTAAAAAGCCTATGTTTTTTGGATACACAATAGTATAATGGAATACATTTATATAGATTATAATTACTTATTGACGTAAAATACTTATGTAATTAATTGATTGAATTTATAGTAGTCGAAACAGTCGTCCGATTAAAATCAATTCGAATCGAAAGTTTTTAGGAAAATAAAAAATAAAGTAAATGGGTATTATTTCGGTTGTTGGAATAATGCAGAGAAAATTATTTTGCTACGTTTTTTTATAATATATAAATTGTAATTTCTTTTTAATACTCATTTGTCATATTTATATATTATGATATAATGATTTATAACATTAGCAATAAAATAATTATCTTTTTAACATTTCTTGTTAATATTTGCGATGTCAAAATTTCCAATAGATCAACTATTTAGAAAAACATGCTTTTTACGTCTTATGTTTATTTTTTCATAATGATATTTTTGTCAATTAATATGTTATGAGGCTAACGCTGCCATCTGCGGGTCTGATAGGGCAATTTATTACGAGCAACGGTGGGTAAGGATTCGGAAAACATGTGATTATATATTTAACAAAAATATTTTCTGCGCAAAATTATATAGCCCATAATAATGATAAATTATTACAAATAATTTTAAATATATTTATAAATGGATGATCATCAAACAACATCGACATACAAATCACAAAAATGTATATATTTTCTTCTTTGCAGAATTATATATTATGTAATATACAATATATTACACAATATTTTGACGCCAGTAACAATGTTAATTTTACATCGCGTTTCGTTAAGCGTAGTATAATGTGTTCAGAAAAACTTTTGATCGCAAAAAGCAATCCACATCAATCTAAATATAACGATACAGTATTTATTTTAACTAATATAAACAGTAAAATTATCTTATAAGTGAGCAATATACATATATATATATACATACATTTAACAGAGCAAAAAGTCATCTCTCTGATAGAAGTGCTTTGGTAATTTGAGCTATAAATGTCATATACGCATCAATTTACACTCAAGGCACTCTCACCGCATGGACAAACTCCGACACTGACATTGACAACTCATGTGACGAACAAAAATAATAATTATTTTTTCGATTAGTTAATTAAAGCAGCAATTTAGTGTCATTAAAAAGTCAAAACAAACAGGGATATATCACATGGGTTGTTCGAAAATGTCTTGCGTGGTCATACAGCCCCGAATTCCGCTTGTCGTTGCGATGGGTTGTGATACAAACCGGCCATCGCTTCCTGCAACGCTCGCAGGCACGCGACGTGCGCTCTAAATCCACCCGCTCTATCGACCTGACACTCGTTTCGTATATGCGAAACGTATCCGCGAGCCTGGAGCTCCCGCCAGTTAGGCGGCGACGGCCCTTCTATCTGCTGTCGGATAGGCGTGTAAGAATAGAGGGGTCCTTCTTCTACCTTTGGCACCGAGTAGTTCTGATTTGCCTGATTGCCAAATTTAATTCCCGTGCTAAACTGAGTCGCCCTAACGGCGGGAGATACGGCGGCCTTCGCCTCCTTCTTCTGGGTCTGTATCGCGGAAGCGAACGACTCCACGATATTCTTAGCATTCGCGTCGGAGAACGTCAGCTCGTCGATCAGAGCCTCCTTCTCGCGAATCTTTTTCTTCTTCGCCTCGACCTCCTCCTTCGCAAGCTCCAGCCTCCTCTCCTCCTCCTTCTGCTTCTCCAATTCTATCATCTCCTCCAGCTCGTACTCGCTTCTGCCGAGCTTAGATTTACTCTTCGCTATTTGCTCCTTGTTGTCCTTCTTATACTGCTCTATCTGCTTGTTCGTTTCAATTACGTCGATGTTATTGGCCAGGTTGTATATTATTGTCTCAATTTCTTCCAGATAATCGTTATATTCCCTTAATGAGGCAAAGTCTTCTTCCCTTTTGTTAAAATCTCGCAATATACGCTTCCTTATGTTCACTTCCTTCTCCACCATAGAATCCTCGAACATTTGAACTCTGAAGTTTGCTCTCCTCAGTGGAATCTTGCATTCTGGACAGGATCCGGAGCCTGAACAAATCAATCGTAAGCATCATTGAAATCGCGCTCCCCTCCAAATTAAATGTAGTAAACAATAAATAGTGGAATCAAAAAACCAACCTTTCAGAAAGAGCAGGTCCACGCAGCTCTCGCACAATGCGTGACCGCAGACGTTCACCATCATCTTCAACGACGGATTCCGATACTTGGTGGTTTTACACCGTGGACACGCTTGATCATCCATCTTCGAGACGAAAGAAAGATTAAGATAAATATGAGATTTAACAAGACGTCTCTTTAGCTTAGAACGGGTTATGCGCAAATGCAATGAATCGTAACTTACCTTGGCAGCGGTGT